TATTGTCATAGTGTAAATAAATCTATGTGATTTTATTTATTTATTTATTTATTATATTATATAAAATATTATAAAAAAATTAAAATCTTACATTTTCTAAATTATAGACTTGTTAAAATTTATAAACATACCATCATGATAGAAAGCATTACAAATAAGAGAGAAGAGAGACAACAATTCAAATTTTTTAAAACAAAACACAAAAAAGTCAACATAAAAGGTATCAAATCAAAGGCTCTATATCTAAATATTGAACGATTTAATAAAGCATTTTAAGTAAACCATAAGTTTGATAGACCACCAAAATAGGAGATTGGATCAAATCAAAACTTATAAAATTCTATCTATTTGTAAAATCAACTTAAATCAACAAGTATGTCAAGTTTGGAAACCATAAGTAAAAAACTAACTAATCAACTTGCTAGTAAGGAAATTGAATTGCAATCAACAACAAGTTCAAAGAAAAATGTGGCAATTGTAAGCATTTACAAATTAAGAGGTTTTTGTATTAAGAAGAAGAATTTGAAAGAATAGAAAACTTTCAATCAATTTATTAATGTCAATGTGAATAAAAAGTATTATTCTATTTATTTTATATTATTAGTAATTAAAAAAATAATTAAATAATAATATAAATTCTTATTTTATTATTATATTGTTGGTTTAATATATAATATATATTATTTCTTGTATAAAAAATAAGAGTTGAATTTTGTCATGTTTATAAATTATTTTTTTCTTTAATTTTTTATTTTGAAATATAAATAATAATATATTTTTAATATTTTTTGAATTTAGAGATTTTTGTGTGAACTAAATTTGATACTTACACATATTGGAGTACTATCTACTAAAATATCTTCTCAGTTAGAAATTCATAATTTCTTATGTAGAATTTTTAAATCTTATAAAATTTTTATATTATTCTCTATTTTTATAAGGTTAGTATACAAAGAAAAAGATAGATCTTTTTAAAATTGATTTTTTTTTTTTTTAATAATAATAAAGAATACCATGTTAAATTTTAATTTTTTAAAGTTTTTATTAGCCTTTTAGTTTTATAAATCTTGTGATTTTTTAGATCGTGTCATGTCTTCAATTATTTTATTGATCTACTGATGCTACTAAAACTCTAACTTAAAAAAAAGTTAGATTTAGTTTAAAATTAAAATTAAAAATATTAAAAAAAAATTAAAAATTATATATTCTAAATTTCTAATTATATCATTAGAATTATAAGCATCAAAATAGTAAGTTAAGTCAATTCAAAATTAATAGAAAAATCCATCAAATACTTTTAACATACCTTTGTAATATTAAATCATAAATACTAAATCTTATGTAAACAAATAGACCTTTGAATAAGTTATATTTTGTATAGTATAAATATATACTATTTCAAACTAGATATTCTATGTGTAATATAAAAGAAACCACCTTAAATTAGTTATTTTGTGTTTGCAAAGAAAATATGTCTACAATCAAAAATCAGCTTTACAAAATAATAATCTATAAAAGTCTATAAGGTTAATCTATCCTTTTAGAAATCTAATAACTTCTAAAATAAAAACACGTTCAAAATTTTAACCAAACCATTAGAAATGTAATTAATAAAAAGAAAAAGATAGATTAATTTAAGACTTTGAATTAAATATATCAATTTTTTATAGGATATTATTGTAATTAAAAAAATAAATTTCAATAAAAATAAGTATTTTATAAATAGAATTAATAAAATTTTAAAAGAAATTTTAGTTTTAATTAATATTAGAAAGAATTTATTTTATTATTTTAAATAACTAATACTTTCTAAGCTTTAAAAATATTTAGTATTCTAAATAAAACACTATAATTTTAAGTATTAAAAGTAGTAGAATTAATTAAGAAGTTAAAATATTATAATAAAGAAAATAAAGAAAATATTAATAAGTAAAAGTCTTTATATTAAAAAATCTAAAAACTAGTAGAACATTCTAAATCTACCACTAATTTAGTAGATCCTAAAAATTAATATGTATATCAAATTAAAACTTAAAAATATTTTATATATGTAATATTAAATAAAAAACCAAATTAATCCAATCTTTAATATCTAACAATCTAAAAACTTCTAAAATAATTTGATTACACTATTGCAGCTTAAGAATCCAAAATACAAAAGATAACAAACTTAAAACTTACAAAAGGTATTTTTATTATAAAAATAATTTTATAAGTGCAAAGTTAAAATGTATAAACTTATAAGTCTAAAATCTTGTAGAGCATGTTATTTATGTAAGAAAATTTATAGATTCTAAAATTTTTAAAAAATTATCTTTTTAATATTAAAATATAAAAAGTATAAAAATTGCATACATCCATATAATACTAAAACCTATAATTTAAAATTTTGAACTATAAACTTGTATCCTATGACACCTTTATAATATTGAATTCTAAACTTTAAATCCAAAAATTTAAATCTTAAAAAAAAAAGATATATGATGTGCATCAATATTTTTGTTTACATATAATAACCACAACATATCCCATACCTTGTTTTTAAACACACCACACATTCAAAACTAATAAAAAAGCAAAATAAAATGATAACATACTTAATCAAAGACCAAGTTGATTTCTAATTGTGTCTACTACTTAGGCTACCAAAACTTACTTGTTGCTTATTTCGTCTTTGTTTCTACAAACACGCCATACTACAGCTACTCGCCTTCACACCATATCACTATTTTTATTTTCTCAACTAGGTTCATAAACCAGCGCAGCTCTCGTATTCATTAGGGTCTGCCATTCTTATTTCCATCTTCCGTTCATAGCTTTCCAGACGTGTTTTCCCCTCAGTATGAGTTTATCTTCACCTCATTTGCCAACTGCACTTTGCAAGCTTTGTTTGATTGCTTCTTTGGTTAAGTTTTGCGTCTTTATGGTCTTAACTCTAACGCAGAAAGAGTAGCGGTTTTCTAGTCCAAAGCTTGTTTTGTCAACTCAACCTTTGCCTTGGAGCTTGTAAGTTCCTGAACAACTGTCAGCTCCTCCTCTCTAGCCTTACAGCATTGCCCAGATCACATTGAAGCTCCATCACCTCCCTCTCATTTACGTCTGAATTAAGCTTCAAAGTGTGTATGCCGGTCCATGTACAATAGCTTTCTCTTCCCGCACCCGGTGTTCAAAGCCTCAAGCTTTCAGTAGCAACTTGTCATGAACTCCTTGCAGTTTCTCATTATCGATACTAGGAGTTGCCTCGGCCAGTTTCAAAGTATCAATGATAGTTTTGCTGGTCTCAGACGCGTCTGATATTCAGATTTGTTTAGTTTGGAATTCTTTTCAAGTTTGTTGAACCCTGTGTTTAGGTAAGCTATACCTTGGGCAATCTTGTCTAGCGCTCCTGGAACTACTTTGAACCCTTCTAGTAATGAGGTAAATTGTCTGTCTATGGTGATATGTTTTGCTGGCGCAGTTTCTCTTCTATTGAATTCTGTGTTTGCGTAGCTGCAGCCTGTGCGCCACCTTTGAATAGAACTGTCGGTTCAGGTAGTCACTTTTATTTTCTTCTTGGACTCTTACAGCATTTACTCACCCAAAAAGCACCCGCATCATTTGAAGATCAGCCACAGGAATTGCATCCATGAGCACATTGAATCCCTTCCCCAGAATTGCAGCCGTATAGCGGCTGAAAAGATATTCCTCGGCAGTGGCCACCAATGGTTCCCGTCACTGCATTTGTGCCACACGCTGCGGCGCCCACCATTTTGACCTCGAAATCTTGTAGCAGCCTTGCTTCTTCCGCTCTCACGATGCTAGCTGAATGCTCGTCTTTTACACCCAAGGCTGGGCCTATCACTCTTTTAACCGCCTCGTCTTTCAGGGCTTCTGATTTCACTGAGACTCTTACAACATTTAACGACACCTAGGTCTACCCTAAACAACAATTTGTCTTTTCAGATGCGGAAAGTTGGTCTTTATTCGGCTTTTTCATGACGAACGTTTCCGACATGACATCCGTGCTCGACCTCCCTCATGCACGACTTTTCTAGACCCCGCTTATACGATAAAGAAAACAAAGACCAGGAAGAGTGGAATACAAAGGTTGATAGGCAAAGGCTCGAGTTTTAGGTCTCTGTTAGGCCAATGTAAATCCATAGTGTTAAATTTGAGCTGTGGGTCGACGTCACCTAAGCTGTCCAATGCCTGGAAGTGCTCTGCGTTGGGGTCCCGCTTCGATAACTTATTTTGTTGGTTACAAGTCTCTATTTTGCGTGGAGCTGTTACACTTGAATACATTACAGGAATGTGTTGCTTCAATGCTTTCAATGATCTTTACACTACAAGCAATTGCAGGATTGGGTTTGCAGTCTACCGAATCCACTTACCCTCAGAATGATCTCACAGCTCTGAGCCGTTATTGAGGGAATCCCCACCCTCACGGTTATGCGCATCTTGTCATCTCTCCTCTTGCAATCATCTGGGTTAGCATGCTTCGAGTTCGAATGTTATAAATGAACTAAGAATTAGTGCTCGGGGTTGTCTCAAATTGAAGGTTGAGCTAGTATTCAGAATGTGACGGTTGAATTGCTTTACAACTTGCAGGGTATCACTAGACATAATAGTGTTCTAGCCCATCGAGCTCGACTAGAATTCGCTACTTGAAACCTGGACAGAATCTCGGCAAATAGACTAGATTTCGAGAGGCAAACTAATTTAACAGCCAGTGAGTCAGTAATTTCCGACCAACGACGGTGAACATTTCGCCACGGTCACAACTATTACATTTTGTTTGAGCCCCTACAAAACAATGACACACTTTATCGCATAGACTCTTATTGTTTCATGAACACAATTGATTGTCAGAATTTCTGAGTTCTAGTCTGTCTGTTGTGGGGGCATCGGTTTTCGCTGATACTACCACCCAACGAGCACAATCTGGGAAGGATGGTGAAGAAAGGAGACATCTATCAAAGTCAACTGCATTTGGAAACAAGATATTGTACCGCCTGAAGAAATGAAGAACACAAAGAAAAAATCATCTGCAAGTTTGAGATGAAATACAAGCATCGATATCTGTTAATATACACTCAACACCCTGCAATGGGAAGTTTCTAAGAGAGCTCAACTGTTAAATTTGTTGCAAAAGCATAAAAATCACAACCTGCGAGAACCTACAATATTCAACACCGACACCGATCTGTTTTTTCATATCTTTACTCTTATGGTTCTATTTCACAACAGCGTGATTGTAGTCATGGAAGTAGAAGGTTTTGTATGTAAAATGAGCCAGCCATTTAGAAAGAATTGTTGATACCACTGCTCCAATGACGAGGGGTATGCTGAGGGCTGCTACCGGACGAAAAGGGACAACAGCGGATGCTGCCACCACACCCACCAGAGCAATTGCAAGTATTTGCAGTCCAACCTCCAAGGCTTTGAAATTCTTCAAAGCATTACTACACGACTTGCACTTCACCACGTGTTGATTGAACCTGCACGTCATCAAATAGTGATAGAGAGGTTACAAGGTAAAGTTTTAACAGAAAAATGGAACCCGTTAATAATAACAGATGATTTTATCACTAGAAAATGTTGGCATACATGATCCAATCACCTTGTAACTTCATTGCTAGAATAAAGCAAAAAGAGCATGAATGATGAATATGAGAATCTGGTATTGCTTGCAGGTGTCCGCTACCCTTCCCCTTGCAAGTGGCAATCCATAGGATGTCCACGAACTTCCCTGACAATAGTCACTCATAAATTTTATCGCTAGTACGTTTCGCACCCATCATTGCTACAAATTCTATGGCCTTGGTTTCGTTGTTGCGGCACCCAAATCCACGAAATCTTATATGGGACAGAATATACGTCGGTGGACATATTCTGTTATGACGTAGTGCCAGAAGTAAAGTCAATTACCCTGAAAAAAATCACAATATTAAAGAAATGCAAAAAAGTGAGAAATTCCATTACCTGTCTAATATAATACGTTTAGGTGGAGAAGGAGGCAGATTATCCTCAAATCTTCCTGACCAGTCAGGACAGCCGCCTGCGAAATCATTTAACCATCTGCGGAAACCAGCGACGTAAGCATCTGCAGTCGTAGGTATGTAGGCTCGCTTAAACCAGTTCTCCGGACCCTCAACCTGCAACCTTCTCTCCTGTATTTTGAACCGGTCTGAAAGCGTCAAAATCTGATGCGACTTCTCATGAATAAAGTGTCAATCAAAAGTTTCTAATCCAAAATCAAGCAATTCAAAACTGATACAACAACACAATTCTCTACGTTAAGTCCTCTCAAGCAGTTCTCAGTACCTACAGTGAAAGGATCAGAACTTACCAGAAGATGAAGTAAATACATATCCGAATCAAGAACCAAGTTGTTGGTCATGTGTAAGACCCACGGTGGTGTAATTTTAAACAAGAAAGTAGCAAAGTTTCGAGGGAATGACCAAATCAGTCGAGATTTTCCTGGAGAAACTGGGATACACAGGAAGAGAAGCGAAACTTTTTTTGGCTTCGTCGCTTTCTTCTCCGAATTCTTTTCCTCCCTAGTTTCCATATTTGTACCCTGTGACATTTTCGCCGGAAAATCTCAGGTTCTATTCATGAAAGCGTTAACGTATACCAATACGTGCACACGCCAATTCAAAGACACGAGCCAAGGTACGGAGTAGCCGAACTTTAATTTTCTTGCAGTTTAAAGATTAGACTGCTGTTCGAACTTTGCATCATTTATTTTTCCCTTCATGACTTATGTTTCACTTCCTAAGATAATCTCCAAAGTCACAGCTTTGTGGATTTGGTAGTCATGATTTCAAAGAAGTATTCCAATTAATCTAGCCATCCGCCAATAGGCCAGCGTTAGTCAAGAACTATTAACTGCAAAAAGACTTGAACATACGACTAGCACTGAAGATCTCAGCACACTAGAGCATGACTTACAGGAATATGCTGCTTATTATTGCCACCTAAAGTAAATTGCAGCAGGAAAGAAACAGGAGGAATGAAGGTTTCAACGCTTTTTTCATCCTCTCCTTTGAATCCTGAAGGGGCGATCTTTGTTGTAATCGTGAAATTCAACGGTTCCGCACTTTTTCGATTTCCCTACAAATTTGGGAATCCAAATAAGGCAGTTAGGAAATTAACCGTCACGATGAACAGAGTTATATGACACTTTCATGCAGACACCTCACAAGATCTGATCAAGTCAATAAATACATAAAAGTGTGTACTAAAACTCCATTGAATTCAGGAAAGTATCTGCAAACCACTCGACTATCTGATCAACTTAGACCAATGTGTTCCCAGCTCATGGACCCCAATAGCAGATGGCATGATAAACCTGGATTTTGTGATGAGCGAAGTTGACGTGTGCCGGGTCCATCAGGTTCTCAATCAAGGTTTCATACCTGCAAATTAATTGAATAAATACATGTCATTTATAAGCAATGAAACAATCTGGTTAATAAACAACATGGTTATAAATTTTGATACCTCAACTCTCTAACTGGGCAAGATCAAGGGAAATGATAGAATCTAGGGTTTCAGAAGCTAACGAGTATTCCAAGTCACGTAATGATATATCGTATCCGAAATCTGGATCACTAAGCTCTGAGAAGACTGGAGGAGGGTTGGCAGCAGCCTCTATGTTGACGGGTCCTTGTGAAAGGTCGGACCAGAACCATAAGATGCCTTGCTGCTCCATGCTGGGATAAACTGATACGCAAGCCCTTTTCGATCTATGACGCTGCGAGTACCATAAACCCTCAGTGTCAGTATGAAACATAAACTAATGTCGAAACAGAAACTAAAGTTACAAGCATTTTCTACGAAGCGATAGTGCATGTACTTCACGTGTACGATTTTGAAATTCGTGTCCAGCTCAGTCTATAGAGTAGCTCAGTTAGGTTTGACCTACCTGTTTGCCATCTTTGGGAGCCTGTGGAATTCCTGTACACTCACCAGAATCACCCTTGAAAGTCCACCCATGGTAGGAGCATCTCAAATGCCCTTCTTCGCTAATGCTGCCCTCCGACAGAGGAGCCAACCGGTGAGGACACTGATCATCGTATACTTGCCATTTGCTAGTTGACTTGTCCCACCAAATGGCCAAGGGTCGACCTAAAATAGTAGCAGGATGAGGGGAGTTTTTATCAAGATCCCTCTCAACTGCAACGGGATACCACTGAGTGTTCCAATTAAACGCCGATTCCTCACTTGAGCGTTGCACTTCTGGTGCCTCCGGCTTCTCCACCATCGCCTGCCTCGTTCCATGTTCCCTGCTATCAACACTATCCCCATTTCCAATTGAAGCAAAAACTGTCTTTGTTGAGCGAGGGAGCCTCGTGACGCGAGCCAATTTGCACTCAACATTCCATGAATCCTGCGCTACATGTTTGTTGGGCAATGCTCCACCTTTCACAGAACACTGCAGCCCCAAGGCATTCACGACAGTAATCTGCACAGCCATCGTAAAACCGAACATTACTAAAAGTTCTCACTGGTTCCTCATCATACAATGTATCTCCAAAACTTAACTTTCTATACCCATACCGAATTCATTCCCTGGCTTCAAAAACTTCCGCTGAACCCAAAAACCTCTCCCCCTCCCTTCCAACTTCCTCCTGCGCCACTCGCAACCAGTAAGTCCGACCACCAGTCAAATCCAATCCCAACGCAAGCCACAATCCCTGATTACTCACTCCCTTCCCCCCTCTCTTCAGTCCTTCCCCGCAAAGCTCAGCCTCACTGAATAACTCACCCTCGGCCTCACTTCCTCGCACAGTACACTGCACTCCCCCTCACACACTCAGTCTCAAGTCCTCACTGTGTGGGAGGAAGGTGGGGTGGAAGTGAAGACCCCCCTTCAACGACTCTGCTCTTATTGATATCGACCTCCATCAACTCCCTTATCCTCCAAATCTATCACCTGCCCACCACTGAACGGAAAACAACAATTAAAGGGGAGCAAAAAAGGCAAAAGTCGCGAGGGGCGAGGTTTGGTTGTGAGATGCGTGAGTGCATCACATGTAAAGATGAGCTTTACTTGTATGGACAGTGAAGGAAAAGGATGGCCTGATTTTCTGGAGGTTGTCTAAAAATAGGACAACTGGGTCATTTTTCTTGATAAATGCGTTCGTAGTGCAGTTCATGGATGACAAAATTAGAAATGCTTTTCCGACTTTTGCACAGAGGTGTTGTGTAATTGTTGATGGATTTTTTCATTGTGTTGTTTTTATCATTGGCTGAGTCGAATCTAAAATTCACATGTTTTAAGCAAAAACAATTGTGTGAAAACTTGGAGCAATTTATTTTTATGTATGTAAATATAATTTTTCAAAAAAAAACACATTTTGAAGACCAAATATTTTGTCATTTATTTATTTTTACTTTTTCATATATGAGATTTTTTTATAACTAAAATTATATAAATTAGACTTTTTCAACTATTGAAATACAACATGATATTTTTCTAAGAAAGTGTTGGTATGGTAATAAAATAAATAATTAATTAAACAACTTGAAATGAAGAATTTGATTTATATTATATGTATGTATATGTATATATACATGCTAATAAAAGACTTGTGATTGCATAATTTTAAAGAATATTTTGTTTTATGTTTGATTAAATCTTCTAAAGTTTTCATGTTTATAATATAATCTTTATTATGGATATACAACAAACTACAACCATAATCATTTTAGAAACATTTCATAACTTTTTAGATCTCATAAATACATGTCCTACTTCTTATTAATCTATACTAACTTTTAGAATTTCATTGAATCCTCTAATGTTATCTAAAGACTTTAAAGAACCTTCAAAATTTATCAAAAGCTTCTATAGACTTCTAAAACTATGTGAGACTATTTATATTATTTTAAAAGTATATATGAAACTTTATACATATTTTTAGGATATTTTATAGTTTTTAGAATATCTCCAAAGAATGTCTACAAAATTTAGTTATTATAATATAAACAAAGAGACTTAATAAGAGATGCCTTAGTCTTACCAATACTACTTTTAAATCAATACATGTGTTGTTTTGTTTGTAACATTCTTTTCTATCCTTTATTATTATTATTATTTATTATTTATTTTTGATATTTAATAAGTTTTTGATTCTTTAATTTTTTATCTTTTATATCTTCTACTCAAACTTCTAAAAAAAAATTATATATATATAGAAACATATATATATATATATATATATATATATATATATATATATATATATATATATATATATATATGTGTTTTTATACTATTCACCTTAAAATATGTTTAAAAAAATTTAGTTGTAAAAACTATAAAATTTTTAATAAATATAGACTTCAATAAAATATTAAATATTGATAATTATAATTAATTATTTAAAAATATTTTATATTTTTCATCAATATGTATTTTATTACAATAAATTTATTCTTCAAATATATATGTATATATATATATATATATATATATATATATATATATATGCACACATACAAAGGTTATTTTGATTTTTTTAAATAACAATACATATTCATCATTTAGAAATATTTTTATTCTTAGATTTATCAAAAAAAAAAATTCATGTAGAATTTTAAACATTGTAATGCTTCAAATAATAATTTAAACTAATTCTATTTTATTTTTCTAGATTGACAATGTAAAATTTTTTAATTCATATTTAGAATAATTTAATTGTATATCTATATATATATATATATATATATATATATATATATATTAGGTGTTGTTAAAGCCATATCCCAATGTTATTAAAGCCACATCTTCCTAGCTATCTTATGATTGATTCTCTCCATTTCTTGTCTCCATTGTCATATTGTAACATGATTATATGGTGAAAGAAGAAAGAAAAACTTATATTATTGAGGAGCTTATATGAAATTACTTTTGCAAATCATCTTAGAAATATAGATAATAGACAAAGAGATAGAAAAAAATTAATAAATGCTAATATTGCCTTCTTGAAGAAGAGACTTCTATTTACTTTGTAGGAGCTTAAGTGTCCCAAATCAAAGTAAATAAGATAAATTATAAATATAGGCATTTTTAGGAAGGAATTAAGAATAGGTTTTAGTAAAAATCACCTCAAAATTTGAAGAATTGATACCTGGAAAGGACCAATTGTGAATCAAGATCGAAATTAGACCCGAAGGCACAAACTATACACCTATATTGACTTCAAGGTTCTTTAGTTGATTGGAGAGTGAGATTTGAGAGTAGACTTGTGAGAGGATTTTTCAGAGTTGATTTCATGTCATTTGAAGGCATATTGAGGTTTTGAAGGCTTCTCAAAATAAACAATCTATTCAATAGATTTGGATTTTGTAGAATAAAAAAGGTCACAATTTTGAGGATTTTGTAAAGATTATAGCATATTTATAGGTGAATTTTTTTCAATCTATCATTGTATTAGTTTTAAATGTGTTTGTAAAATTTGATGTTAATCAAAGAGTTAAATTGACGGTTATGAAAGTTTTGCAGGGTATGAATTCAAATAATTAAAATTTTGGTTTAGTGAGGATTTTTGCAATCTTGTAACATCTGCTAGTTTGATTGAAGCAAAAGTTGGTGACAGCTATTTGAACTTAGAATTCTACATACCAACCAATTTTTGAAGAAATTGAACAAATAAGAAATGAGAATTTTTTATTGGAATATCAACATCTAGGTCAAAGAAGGAAGGTGGCCAATATCCAAGCGATTCAAGAACTTTTTGTTTTGAATTGGTGAGTTGACTTTTTTCAAAAATTTTGTACTTATTAATTATATGTGAATTGAAATTTGAGTGAAATTTCAATCAAGATCAATAATTTGATTAATTTTAATTGAGATTTTAAAACAACTATAGTAATTGATTAATATTTATTTAGGATTTGATTATAGTTTGATTATTTAGGATTTCATTAAGATTTGGTTAAAATTTTATTAGAATTTTTTTGGATTGTTAGAATTTCATTAGGATTTGATTAGAGCTATATCAAAATTTGATTAAGACTTATTTAGGATTTATTTAAAATTTATATTTTTAATATTTTTTTAGAGATTTTTTATTTCTTTAAAGGTTTTTATTTTAGTGTTTCTTTAAGATCATTATTATTTATTTAAAGATTTTATTTTTTTTATTTCTTTAAGATTTTTTTATTTTTTTTGAGATTAATTTAAAACTTCTTTATGGTTCTTTTGTAATTTCTTTTAAATTTCTTTTGGATTGGTTAAAATTTGATTAAGATTTTTAAAGATTACATAATTTTTTTTTAAAGATTCTATTAGACTTGGTAGCATCTTATTGCTGCATTTTCTATTTATTTTCTACAACTAGGTATCTTATGCATTCTCAAGCAAGAATTCATGTTATATGATATTTTTTTCTATTCTTATTTCTTTATCACCATTCTCCTTCTTCATTCCTTATTCCTTGTCTTTGTCTTTGTTCTTGTCTTTTATTCTTTTTCTTCAATATTTTTTAGAGGCAATCGACACAAACTAACATACTTAATCTTTGATTCTTCCAAGCCCACTACATCATAATATATTGACTACTTTTGTTTTCACATTTTGATCTAAGATGTTATAATTCCTTAGCCCACATTGCAAATATGACTCACATTCTATCTAAGTTTATTAAGAATTTCACTTGAGCCCACAATAATGATTAAATGTGATAGCACTCATAGTGGTGGTTGATCAAGCAAAGCTTGAACAATCTTAGAAATTACTTCTTGCTATTGTGCATTCCAAAAAATGAGATAAAAGCTTCATAATACTAAGGCCTTTACCTCCCACCAAAAATGGTTACTAGCTCTTGGAACTTCATGCAATTTTATGCATATCAATACAAAACTAATCTTTGTTCTAAGTTGCTCGCCACTAGGAATTAGCAATAAGGCTAACAATTCTTAACAACTAGGTCACTATATAATACACGACAACCTTTTGCATGATTTCCTCAAAGGATTGCATTGCCAAGATACTAACTCCCACACCTTATTCATCTAGGTAATATATACTACAAGTATTCAAATAAGCCTAGTAACATCCAAACAATCTTCTTGTAAATGTCAATATTGGACTCAAAGAAGGTAGTAAGCAGGCAATACAAAGAATGAGGGATGTGTCATGGACATACTCATGTAAGCTAGAAATTACATATACAAATAGGTGGAAGTAAGTAAAAGTAGCTAAAAGTAAGTTAATTCTATAGTATTTAATATCGAAGCTTTCTAAAAGCTTAATAGACACTGCTTTGACTTCATAGGTGTCTTTAATTGACTTTTTGGATTAGAAACGTGGTCAACAAGGTGGCCATGTGCCACACATATTGTTAGCTTGAAGATCAAGCTAACTATGTGGACCACACGTAGAAAAACTTGCCTTGTAAGTCAAGGCATGTGTCCTACAAAGTCAACATATATTGGAGGTCCTATAGAACGTCGCCACGTAGCCCCTAGTTAGATAGTATATATAGAGACAAGAGTGAAGCCTTCTTCACTCTTGTCAACTCTTTTCTTGCTTCCAGTCTAATTTCAAGGGTCTCTAGTTTTCTTGTCTTTTGGCAATAGCCATTCCAGTTTTTCTTTCAATATACATACTTGTTTATTTATATTTTGTTACCTTTGTTTGAGTGAGGGTTCACTTGTTTGAATTGCTTTTTCATCGAGTTCTTGTCCTTGACAGATTGACAAGAGTACACCTACAATATCAGAGCTTTGTTTAGTCTTGATTAAGAGTAGATTATTCGTTTTTCTTGATAAGATATAAGCATATTAGAAGTTACGGATTACCCTCTTCTAAACTGATATTGTCTTTAGTATTTTCTTTGTTCTCAAGTCCTCTCTTCTATTTGTCTTGAGCAATATTAGACATCTTCTCTCTTCT